GCTGTGCTCTAGTGACAAGAAACCATTTTCCAGTTGCATAGCTTAAGTCGAGAAAAGTTATCTATCAACGAAAATGTTTGAGTACGATCTCGTTCAACTCGAGGGCCTATCAACCACATGGTGCAGTCAAGGAACTGTTTTCCAGTCGAATTTTCAAACCAAGGTCTTTAAACCGAGAAAAAGACCGAAGTTGACTACAATTTGGCAACGAGAAGCCACGTTCCGATTCAAATTCCAAACTATGACTTCAACTTCATATTGTTTCAAGACGAATTCGACTTCGCGAAAGAGGAGTCATCCGCAACTCAATTTGACAGGGAGTTATTCCTAATTGCAATATCAGAGTTAATTTCAACCCCACAAAAGAGAATATTAGACTCACGGACCTCCTCATACTGAACGAAAGTTTGTGTCATTTTGTCTTTGTCCTATTTTTCGTTATACGAAAAATAAAAAAGATGGGCAATTGTAGACACTCATTTTCGTCCGGATTTTTTATTTTATTTTATTTATTTTTTATTACTTAATATATATATATATATTAATATAGTATAAATTTTGAAAATATTTTTTAGAAAACAATTTTTTGAAAATGTACATATTATATAGTTTTTGAAAACATTTTGAAAATATATATAATATATAGTTTTTGAAAATATTTTGAAAATATATATAATATATAGTTTTTTGGAAACATTTTGAAAAAATATATATAATATATAGTTTTTGAAAACATTTTAAAAACTTATATAATATAAAGTTTTGAAATCATTTTGAAAAACTTATATAATATATAGTTTTAAAACATTTTTGAAAACATATATAATATATAGTTTTAAAAACATTTTTTGAAAAAATATATAATATATAGTTTTAAAACATTTTTGAAAACTATATAATATATTTTGAAAACATTTTTAAAATATATAATATATAGTTTTAAAATATTTTTACAAAATATATATTATATAGTTTTGGAAATATTTTTGAGAATATATATATTATTATTATTATTATTATATTTATTATTAATTCTTTTTTATTTTCTTTTTTTAAATTCGGTCTATGTCCAAAGTTAGGGTCTAAATTTTCCAAGGAGAAGCCTAACCCGGTAGGCAGGCCTGACCCAATCAGCCAACCCGGTCAGCCCATCAGATTAGAGTTTCAACAATTTGTCAAGGCGCCGCAAGGAAATAATCATCATGCGCGTGAGGCCACGCGCCAGCAAGGTTCCAAACGGTCAGCAATTTCTGGGCGAAATCCCCGGGACTGAACCATCCCGGAGTTCTCGGTCAACCAACGGTACGAATCCCGTCCCGTTCGGGACCCAAAACAACCAACACAGAGGCTATAAAAAGCCCTCGGTGAGGCAACACAGGGGATCGAACCCACCACGGTACCAAAAAGTACAACATTACCAGCAAAAAACCACAGAACAACCGAGAACCCAAACACAGTCGGCCACAACAACACAATCCCACCACAAGAGAAAAACCAAAAAACATTCAACGATAACCAAAGTATTCGGAGCAAAAGAGCGAGAGAAAACCAAGCAAAGAAATAAAAAAATCCCAACCAAAACCCACATACAAACACAACAAAGATAGTAAAAATCAGTGCGTGTTGGAATCGAGAAGAGCCAGTCACCAGAAATCGAAAGGTTTCATCGAAATAAGGTGGGAACTGAGGGTTTTTTGTAGATCTACGATTATAGGGGTTGATTTTGGAGATTTGAAAGTCGGATTTGGGTTCACGGGCTTGAGGGGAGTATTTCGGGCTAGGTTAGTATTTTTTGGCGGCCGGTACGGTAGGGGCATCGCCGGAGTAGAGGCTGGCCCTTGGCCGGATGGGAAGAGTTGAGAGGATTTGGGTGATATGAGGGAGATGATAATTTGAGGAAAATGAGGTGAAATGGGTGGTTTTGGCCCATTTATATACGGGGGACTAAGTTGCAATTAGCCAATAGTTAAACCCTTTCTACCGTCCCCCAAATTTTGAAGTGTAATTCATTTTGGTCACTCTATACAATTTGGCCTCTAAATTTTCAATTTATTCAATTCGGTCCCTATTTATAATTTACATTTTTTGCAGTTTAACCCCTCTAACTCTTTATTTTTCTCTTGCAACTCATTTTTAGTACCAATTTAATCCATCAATTTCAATTTATTTCAATTTGGTCCTTTAACTTTTTAGTTATTCATTTTTTTTTCTTTTTTAATTTTAGTATTTTTTTCTTTTTAGTTTTAGTGGTTTTTATTTTATTTTTTTATTTTATTTATTTTTATTTATTTTCAGTTTTTACTTCTTATTATTTTTATTTTATTACTTTATTTAACATTTTTCATTTAATATTTAATATTTTTATTTTTATCTTTTTTTTCCTTTGATTTATTTTTTCTTTTGATTTATATAATATCTATTTATTATTTTTCGATTGTTTAGGGATACTTTTCAACCAATCAAAGGTAAGTAATTTAAATTGAATATTTTAAATTTCAATTTCAATTTAGATTTTCGCAATTAAGACAACCGACAAATTAAAACGGTACCGAAAGGGCGGTTCAAGGGTGCTAATCCTTCCTTGACCGTAATTGACTCCCGAACCCAACACATTTCTGGTAAGACGCAGATCAATTAAGATGGTGTCTGATCAGCCTAAATATTTCTTTAAAATGATCGGTGGCGACTCTAACCATTTTTTCAAGTCGAAGCCCAATTTCAGGCCTACCCGAAAGACAGCCGCGACAGTTTGATATCTTTATTATTTATTTGTAATAATCGTATTTTGCTGTAGTGTTACATAATTTTATTGTAGGATGGAGGCCTAAATAGTTTGTTGGCGTAAGTTGGTGTTGAAGCCTTAGATGTTGGGTTATATGATATTAAAAGATCTGGTATATGGTTGAGAGGATTGTTTGTGGTTATCAGGAGCTGTATCAAATGTTACCTAGAAGGGGTCAGGTCCTGTGTATTGCCAATGCTTGTTTTGTGTTGGCTTGGCAGTGAGTTTTGCTATTGATAGGTTGGAAAATGTTTACATCCATAGCCATGGTCACTCTTTTTTCTCCATCTAAGTTATAGAGGTTTTTTTAATGAGGACTATGATTACAAGTTGATTTTGTATGTGCAATAAAACCGTACAAAATCATTCTTTTTCAAAAAAAATATTGTATCGACCCTTAAACTATTAATATCATTCTATTTTGATTCTCTTGTTAATGTATCATTAGTTTTACTAATTAAAAAATTAATTTATTTTTAAAAATCCTGAGAATTGAACTTGTGCTTTTTTTTAATAAAAATCTAAAAAAAATTGATTTAAAAAAATTTCATATCTTCAATTCTCAGAACTTTCAAAAATGTGTAGTATTAAATTATTTTATATCTTAAATTTTAATTCTCAATATCTTCAAAACAGAAATTAATAGAATTAATGACACATTAGTGAAAGGATTAAAATAGAATGATATTGATAAATTAAAAATTGATATAAATTATTTTAAAATTTAAATATCAATTTAGAATGAAAATCATAATTTAAAGATTACCATAATATTTTAAAAATTAATTTAAAATCAGTCTTTATTTGTATAATTAACTCAAATATAATCACAATAAATCAGTAGATACGACTGTTATAAATAACTTTCACGTCCTTTGACAAGCTTCTTTTCTCTAATAATTTTTGGGTAAAGTATATAAATAGTTCTCAAACTTTTAGGAAACTTGCATTTTGGTCACCTAACTTTTAAAACTTGCAATACAATCATCGAACTTTTAGTTCGTTTTAATTGATGTCCCTCTCTTTACCTCCGGTTAGTTTTTTCTTACGTGGCATGTTACTTCCGTTAACCCTCTTACGTGCCAGCTTCTTCTTCTTCTGGCTATGGGCTTTCTCTGTGTCGCTGGCTTTGATTCCATATGCTTTTGGAAACTCCAAGGGAAATGCTCTCTACACGTTGAGAAAAAGTTTAGTCGATCTGGATAACGTGCTCCAGAAGTTGGGAACCCAACCTTGTTAATCCTTGTACTTGGTTCCACGTTACTTGTAACCAAGATAGTCGAGTCACCCGAGCATATGCTGATTTCACTCGTGTTTTTAAATTTTTTCGTTGGTTTCTTTTATTTGTCTTTTTTAAGAAATAAAATAATTAAATTGTTATATGATTTGAATACATGTTAGTAAATTGGTGGCTTATTTTTTTTTGTCGAAGGAAATAAATACCATCTATAAATGGGAGACAAAATAACAAATTATTAATTGTCATGATATAATGTTCTGTACACAGAACAAAAGAGAAAACTAAGTATCTCTTGGATTTAGTTTAATTCCCCCTTTATCACGAGGCTTGAACAAGCAATGCAGCTATCGTCCCTTAACTTTTCACATACAAAGAAAAAGCAGTTAACAACTTGTGTCACTCGACATCTGCATCAAACCATTTTAGCGTTTACCACCCTAAAAGGAAAATAAATTGCAGCAGCAAATTGACTCACTGCATAAGCAAAAAGGCCTCTTAATTGAATTTAATGTCTATTTTTTAATATAGTTATGAGAAGCTGTTCTATCATCTGGAGCTTGTGTTTCTTGGGGGTTGCCTGCTTGATTTAAACTGCGTTTGGATTCTTTTGTTTACTTTCATGTTTTTTACCGGAAAAAAAAAAGTGGATAAAAAGCCCATAGCAACAACAAGAAGAAAAGAAGTGCCATGTAAGAGGGTTAAGTAACTGTCATATTAGCAAAAACTAACGGGAGGTAACAACAAGGACATATATGAAAACGAACTAAAAGTTCGATGACTGTATTGCAAGTTTCAAAAGTTAGGTGATTAAAATACAAGTTCAGGGACTATTTATATAGTTTACCCTGTTTTTTTAATAAATACTAATGATTTTGCCCTCACTTTACTATGTCCAAATTAAACAGAATTGACGTTTAACATGAATGCTTAAAAAACTTCGAACTTGCAGTCACATACAGCATATCTAAGATCAAAATTGGGTTTCAAAAGATGGGCAATTACTTTTCCACACATCAACGTACTTATTGCAATTAAACGAATCCAATTTGTAATATGATACAGCCAGAGTCTTCTGATCTATACAACAGAAAAGAAAAAACAAGTTTAACCAATAAACATGTGACTAGACGAGCATCAATACTGATCCATGAAGTGGGAATTGAATCCTTACTTCTTTAGCATTTGAAGCCACCACAGATGGACAACACGATGATGAGAATCAAGGCGATCAGAATTCCGAGTACGATCAGCTTTACCTTCATGTTCTGCAACCACATCTTCCTCCTCATCCGATTTCCTTGCTGCCTGAAATCCTGTGCCTACAATACCCAACCAAAAAGCACCCATGTTATAAAGAGGGTCTGTACACAACCCAAATCCACTGCCTATCATTTTTAATCACCGGTTGGAGAATCCAGCGATGAGAATTTTGGGTTTCGAATTTGACTATTCAACTAGTCCCTTGCAATTCTCAGATCGGATAATTATAAGGTAGTATCTGTTTAGAACTTTTCTTAATCTATTGACAACGTACACACATCCTACAAACGCAATTGTAACTGGTCGAATCTGATTCCTTTAGGGAGAACAATATTTCCTTTTATAACCGAGTCCATTCAATAAGTTCATGTTGATTAATGCATTTAGAAACGAAAAAATGGCACAATTGAACGAAGACGTAATTCCACATATGTGAAAAGATCCCACGTTTAGATTAACATATAACAGCATCAATTCACGTGAAATGTACTTTATTTAATCAACGCTTTACAAATTAGTCAGATAACTTGCCCAAATGTTGCCCTAAGTATGATCAAACTAAAAGCGGTTAACCCATGATTCTAACAAATCTAAATAAAATCTGAGGAAAAATACTTGTAATTTATTTTTCTATCAGAGGTTAGCATGTTCTTACCAATCTGTCCCCTGAATATATCCAAAAGATACCCATTTATAAGCTTTGCAGTTTTAGAGAATATTGCTCATATTATAAAGGGAATAATATGTAATAATATTTTGCTGACCTGAGAGCGAAGGTTTTCCGTTTTATCTACCAGAATCTCAATTTTCTCTCCACGGTCCAGAACCTGTAAAATAAAATTGTTAATGAAGAAAATTAAATAAAAAGATCCCAAGAAATTTGTAAATTGGACTCCTAGCCTACTTAAACCCTTTAATTGCACCCCACTTATCATTTATGTAAGGCAACTACGAAAATAACCACCTTTTCAATGTTTTCCATCATTACTCCTTTTACTTCTGAAACTTGAGCTTTTACTTTGGCAATCTTACTAATCTCCTCCGGATGATCGATGCAATACTTCATATGCTCCTTTAATTTTGGCCTAGATCAATGATAACACATACATAGCACCAATATACTTGATAACAATGAAGGCAAAGTACTTAATAGTCAAGGAATAGAAAATACCCAAACTCCTTGCTCAGGCTGTTTGCAGAAGCAGTTGCAGCTTTTCCTTCACCATATCTCTTGGTAAAATCCTCCTTAATTCTCTCAAGAAAGGCAATTGGGACCTGTCGGCCAGCAGACTCGACAGCAACGACGCAGTAGGCTGCAAAGAGGAAGGAAAGAGGCTTAATTCAAGAAATGAATGATGTAGCCTTGTTTCATAATGGAGGGTGCAGAACAACTTGTGATAGAAAAACATCAAGCAAGCACCACAAGGAAATGAACAATTAAGTCTTCAGTCTTTCAATATACAAGCTAACTTTAAAGGACTCACCGTGCCTCTTCAACAACTACAGGGGGTGTGACCAAAGGACAAAAACCATTTGCTGAAGTGATGCATTTACATAACAAGTAAAAAACCCTCCAATAATATCTATATATATTGGAAACATACAATAATACACCAGAGCAGGGACGGACACAAGATTTTATGTTAGAGGAATAAACTTCTAAAATTTAAGGGGAGTTAAACTTGTAAAATTTTAGGGGGCGAAAATAGATTATAAATAGAAAATACAAAGAAAATATCTAAAATATAAGATAATTTTAAATTTTTGAGGCTTGAAATTGAAAAATGGGAAACATGTTCAAACTCGTTATGACCACAAGATTTTGTGATGCAAGTGAATTAAGAATATGGATGTTCTAGAATTAATGTTTTCCGTCAAAGTAAATAGATATACAACTGTTGGCTTTTTAACGAATAATTTGAGCAAAAAGCAAATTCAGGGGAAATCATGGACGTAAAAGGATGAATTGTGTAGACACCAATTTTCGTCCATTTTTTTTTATAGATCATTTTGAAAATTATATAATATATGGTTTTTTTTAAATATTTTGAAAATATATAATATATAGTTTTTGAAAACATTTTTGAAAATACATATTATATTGTTTTGAAAACTTTTTTTAAATATATATAATATATAGCTTTTAAAAACATTTTGAAAAACATATATATTATATAATTTTGAAAATTAGTTTCTAAATATATATTATATAATTTTGAAAATTAGTTTTTAAAATATATATATTATATAGTTTTGAAAATTAGTTTTTAAAAATATATTATATAATTTTGAATTTTTTTTTAAATATATGTTATGTGGTTTTGAAAATTATTTTTTTAAAAACATATATTGTATAGTTTTAAAAATGTTTTTAATTAATTTATTAATTTATCTATTTATTTATTTTTTTCATTTATTATTTATTTATTTATTATTGTTTGTTTCAGGTCCAGGATAGGGCCCAAGCAATCAAAGAACTGGGTTTGAACTAGCCCAATAGCATATTAGGGTTTCTTGCTTAGGGGACAACAGTAAACCCACAACGGATCGGGGGGACAACAGTAAACCCATAACGGATCGGCCGAGAACAACAATCGGCCAACAAAAGCCAAGCCACAGAACCGAGAGCCAAGAGTACACACAGAGATCAACCATCACGAACAGAACCGACGAGAACGGAAAGATCCATAAACAACCACAAAACTACATCCACAGTAAGCCAAACACAGAAATCCCATACCATCAAACCCACACAAAAACAGAATCATCATAACCAAACACGAAAAACACAAGCCAACAGCCTAAAAAACCAACCGAACCAAAAACAACATAAAAAAGTAAAAGGCAAGGTCTTTTTTTCATCAAGGGTCGACAAGAGCACCGGGAGTGTGGAGGAACCCCGACGAAAGAAAAGGCACCGAGAACCCGAAGCGTCGCCGGCGAGGAAGGTAAAAAGGCCGAACCTTTTTGGGCTAGATATACTCTGTTCGGGGCAATCTTAGACGATTTGGTAGCCAGATTTGAGTTCTCGGGGAAGAGGCGAGTATTTTAGTGAACTTGGGTGTGTCCGGCCGCCGCTGGCGGCTGCCGGAGCGACGGCGTGTGGTGGCCGGGATTTGGCCAGCCATTGGCCGGAAAGGGCTGGTTGGGAGGTTTTCTCTCGTTTGAGAGAGATGAGATTTCTGAGGAAATGAGGAAAATGAAAGGGAAAGGGTCTTTTGGCCCATTTATATACGGAGGACCATTTTGCAAATAGGTGATTCTTAAATTCTTTCCGCCGTCCCTGGAACTTTGAATCGCTTTACAATTCGGTCACTACCTGTAAATTTGCCTCCGAATTTCCAATTTAATCAATTTAATCCCTATCTATTTATATTTTTTCATATTCTGTGAATTGGTCCCCTAACTTTTTTATTTGTTCTTTTGCAGTTCATTTTCTAATCCATTAAGCCCAATTTGTTCCAATTTGATCCTAAGTTTTGTTTTTATTTTTTATTTTATTTTACTTTTAAATATTTTTTTTACTCAACCTTTTGTTATTATTTTTTACTTTATTTCATTTATTATTATTATTATTATTATTTTTGGTATTTCTTTCAATATTTTTCTTTCATTTTTATTATCTTTTTTATCTATCTTATTTATTTTTTATTATCATATTAACATTTTTTTTTCGTAGTTTTTTTTTTCTAACATATTTTGTTTCAGTCGTAATTCCAACCGATCAAAGGGTAAGTAATTCGGGTCGAATAATTTAAATTTTATTTTAAATTCCAATTTTCGCAATTAAAGACAATCGATAAATTAATTGGTACCGAAAGGGCGGTTCAAGGGTGCTAATCCTTCCTTGACCGTAACCGACTCCCGAACCCGACACGTTTCTGGTACAGCGCAGATCAGGTAAGATGGTATCCGACCTACCTAAATTCGTTTTAAAACGGTCGGTGGTGACTCCTAACCCAATCAATCTAAGTCGAAGCCCAATTCCGGGGCCCAATCGAAAGACGGTTGCGATAGCTTGGCGACTCTGCTGGGGACCGGTAAGTGAGTCAGGCCAGAATTAATTTTCGGTTGTCTTTTTATGCGAAAATTGTAAATTTAAATTTAAATTTATTTATTCGATTCCAATTATTTACCTTTGATTATTTTTCCAAGTAAATAGTTGTACTAACATTTTTTCAATGATTTCAGATTTTCGAAAAGTTTCCATTTAAAGCTCTATACCCGAGCTCTGAACCCTATTTAAGTGGGGGTGAAAGCGACACCTTCGTGTGAATTTATTCACCGTATGGGCCTAGCAAGTAACCTTCGGGATTCATATACCTTATGTCTTCGTGTGAATTTATTCTCCGTATGGACATAAGAGAATGTTTCCTCTCAAGTTTAACTTAGTCCACATAAGCTTGTAACAGGCTTAGGACTAAGGGTCTGGCAAGCCCAAGGGGGCACCGGCAAGGAGAACTCGAGTACCTTTTTAGAACCTAAACCGGGAGAGTGCAGGGAATTAGAGCTCACCCCAAGACCTCATTCCAAACCCTAGGCTGTTTTATTTCCTACTTTATTTTCGGCTCAAAAGCATGCGAACTAGACAAATATGCGGTTAGGATTTGTTTGAAATTAGCATGCAGGATAGAGATCATGTCCGGGTAGGAATTAAAGCATGTGAGGTAGATATCATGTGGGGTAGGATTTTTTCATTTTTTATTATTGTTTTGATTTACCTCACTAACTCTTTTTATTTTTTGTTTTCTTTTATTTTGTTTTCATCATTCGCATCATTTAAAACGAGGTGTTGATCCACCAAAAATGTGTTTGTTAAACATGAATAATCAGCATTAATGGACAAAAGGGTTGTAATACAAGAGATGAAAATGCAGAGGACAGTCTACAGGACGACTATGTGGTCCCCACAATTGAAGAGTATATCACTCTGGTGCATTATAAAAGACTCAGGATGAACCGGGTATACACCAAGTAATGAAAGTCTATCTTTGAAGAATTGACTGCCAAAGGTTGTAGAGCAAAATGAGGAAAAGGTTACAGACCTGGACGCTCCTTTCAAAAACTACGAGAACAAGACGGCGAAACCCTAGCTGAGCTGAATGTCATTGCTGATGAATTTAAGAAGAAAATTTCGATATAGGGTTCCAATGGTGTTGTTGTTAGGGAACAGACTCGACAGAGAGTGGAAGCTGGAGGTGCAGTCCTTCGAGACTCTTTTTGGGGGCAAACAACTCATCATCTGCATAAGTCGGAGCGGTTCGACAGGTTATCCAACCGGTGACAGACGAAGGCAGAAGACTAGTCAACATGTCAGAAGTTGTCAGAATATTCTTGTCTCTTAAAAGATAAAACACTTTTGTCCCCAATAAGGATTATTTTTAATGACAAATACATTTTTTGGATTAATGCCTCGATCATTTCATGCATCATGCATTTAGACATTTTGCATTTTGTTATTTTCTTTGCATTTTGTTTGCATTCACATTAACTAACATATACCTGTCTCATCAAAAGGAGTAAATACTGGATACACCGTCTCAAGCGTTGGACACACCCCATCCACATAACACTCGTTTGAAGAAGAAGATGATGGAAGCCAGAATTACACAAATCGAGGAGAATATGTTGAAACTACAGAAAGAGCTAGAAGACAAGATAAACCAGAACAGTCGAAATACTCTGGAAACAATCACAAAGAACCAAGAGTCCTTGGTGGATCAGATCGTTGCCAAGTTAGTTGGCCTGCAACAGACCAGTGCGCTCGGGGCAGGTTCATCGGAAGGGGTAACCATGCCACTTACCCCGCAAGTGGTTGTCTCACCCAGAATCTTACCAGGACTTCAAGATAATTCGGATAGTTATCGCATTCCGAAATTTGAAGAAGAGGTCAAAACAAAGAGGGTAGAAATTACCATTAACCCAGGAGGTAGAACGGGTGGAAAGCCTCCCCTGAAGAAGAAGGAAAGAGAGATCATCAACATTTCAAAGTCGTTTCCAGTCGTACCCTTTTGTAGGCAAAAACCGAAGAAGGAAAAAGAGCATTTTGATCCCATTCCCATGACATATAACTGTTTGACGCACATGTGGTGTCACCCGATCCCGAGACACCTCTAAAGCCCCCATACCCCAGGTGGTATGACAAAAATGCGCACTGTGAATATCATGGCAGTGTTCCGGGGCATGCTATCGAAAATTGCCTCCCCTTTAAGAGGGTTATCCAAAGGATGCGCAACAGGGGTTAGATTCATTTTAATAATTCAGAATCACTCCACGTTGCACAGAACCCCCAACCAAATCATGAAGAGAATAA